GACTGTTACAAATGACGTCAGAAACCTTTCGAATTGTCGGTTTTTTGGAAATGTAGTCAGGCCAAAACTAGGAAAGAGTCACAAGTAAGGCTTATGTATCTTGCAAAACAGTATAGAACTGTAATGTTATTTGTAATATTGCAATAATAGACTGTTGTGCGCTAGCTATCATATTATGATGTATGTGTGACATACTGGGGTACGATTAGTGCATAAAACTGCAACTTTCAGAAAAATATCAACAGAAGAATTTAAAGGTGGGAGCTAGGGCAGAATTGGTTTAGAATTTATCTCGCCTTTTCATCTGGCATGACTGTAGAGAAAAACATACCAGCAGAGGAGTAGCGTTTGGAACCTACACCAAACTCCCCAGAAGTAACCAAGTTTAAGAACAGAATCTCTTCACATCTACAAAGAAAAACACAATCGAAACAAACCAAACAACTCAACAAAACATGTGCAGCACTCATACATCATCACCAATTACAGAACAGAAAACTGGAACTAGAACGGCAGACATGGTTGAGACAAACATTCGGTTTTGCGTTTAGCACAATACTTTAACAACATAGTAGTCATTTATTGACAGTTGCTAATCCTTTTGGCAGGGTCAGGTGAGGTGATGAGAATGACGGTAAGATAAGATCCGATAAAAAAACAACAACAAAAACTTTATTGGTCCTCTGTTGGAAGTAATTATACAGTGTGCTTATTCCAGCTTCTGAGACACATACAATAGCTTGGGGGAAAAAACGACATTGTGTTATGCAAGCTGGCCCTAGACATACGATTATAATTATATGAAACTTCGTTGCCGTATCAATATGTTTTCTGAAGGCAATTTTAGCCGGATTTGGAAGGATGGGAGATCCAGCAACGTATTCGACAAACATTTTTATCTCTCATGTCAGGGTATCCACATATTTCTAAAGTACAGTTCTGGAAAAGTCATTAACAATGAATCGGCATTAGTCATGTAAGCGTCCAGTAAGGGGAAACAGTACTGGAACCTGGGGACTGTTGGTTCTATCTCAGGGGCCAGCCAGACTAGAAGTAAAACACACATATTCATTTCGTCATCTCTCTCTGTATCAGGTGAGGTGTAACTACAATTTGAAAGTGCTATAAGTTTGGGAACAACGGCTGTTTTGTCTGGTGAGAAAGTGAAGGTTTGATAAGAACGATATAATGAATGATCTACTCGCACACACACACACACACACACACACAC